TGTGCGACGCTGCGGCTGGAGCGGCACGTTCGCAGGACGACGGGCTTTCTTTCCGGTCGCGCGGGCGCGCATGCTAGCACGCCTCAGATGTAGGCACACGGTGCGAAGGCGACGCGTGGGAGCAGGCGAGAGCACAGTGTTACATCTGTCAGGAGGAGAGAGGAGTAGCATCCGCATTCATCACGTGCGCATTGACGGTGGTCACCCGGCTGGCAATACCACAGCTCCGCGCCAGATCGCGTGGGTCGTACAAGCTCTCATGGCAGCGCGCCGGTGTCGCCAGGCGTGGTGGTCGGTCGTATCGGTACGCTGTCCTTGTTGGGGGGGCCAGCGTGAGGTGGAAGAGGTTCGTACAATCTATTCGCTGGGGCATGCACGAGCATCCGCATTAGGTTGTAGACTTGATTACCACGGCTTCGATGACGGCCATCAATTCAGGCCACCTGTGGAGTGGACATTCCGTCGGGGCGGTGATCATAGCTTCCATTGTATGGCGAGGTCATCTCTCCGCGGGATGACTACGACCCCATGGGTGGCGAATTCATTGAGAAGGACGGGGCCCGGTCTCGCTGCTCGATGGATGTTCTAGGATGTTGTGGGGGGGAGGATGCGTTGCCATGATGCTGATTATGACGACACGCCTCCATGGATGGCATTACCCCCAAATGCCACACACACCGAGACACATGTTGTCCATCATGCTGCATCAGTTGATTGCTCTGCACTTCCGGGATGAGTACAAGCTCGGCGTGGTGGGCGAGTCATGCCCCGTGCACCGAGAGCGCACATGCACACACAAAAACACACTAAGACATGTATCATGTATGTGCTTAAACACATGCATATACAGATTTATCGATACAGATCTATGTGTGCAGTCAGCGATGCGGTCGGTAGTCTTCGACAGGTAGCTCGGACCCTGGAGGGGGCGTTCAGATAAGTTAACACGCATCCAGATCCTCATCTTTCGTTCGTTTGTGTTTCCTCAGCCATCCTGCGCTGGATCTTCTTTTCAATGTAATGTGCCTTGCTCCTCCACTTCTCCTTTCTGCCCCCTTCGCCCTCCGCTCCACAGGCGTCTCATGTCATCATTGCCCCCCCTGTGTGTTCGCACAAGCACGCGCACCTACACACAAACACACACAAACACGCACGCACACGCGCACACACACACACACACAAACACACACACACACACACACACACACACACACACACACACACACACACGCGCACACGCACACACACACGCACGCGCACACACACAAACACACACACACACACATACACACGTTTGTCGAAACTTTCTGGGCAATTGCGAGCTTCGTCGAAGATGCGCCTTCCGCGGGCCCCAGTGCGATCGCGCCTACCGCGGGTTTCCCAAGCACGGACTGGATACATTTGTCGAGGCCCTCGAGGGGTCCCAAGAGACGGTGGCCCGCGCGGACCCGTATGAATATTCGTTCTCGTGGGGTTCTGCAGGAGGAGGAGGAGGAGGAGGACGAGGAGGAGGAGGAGGAGGAGGAGGAGGAGGGGGGGAGGAGGAGGAGGAGGAGGAGGAGGAGGAGGTTTTCTAGGTGGACCGATGATCAGGTATTCGCCTATCTGGGAGTCTCCAGGCGTGGAATTGCTAGCGGGCCTACGCCACCCCGAACAATCATTTGCTTCACAGGGGGCTCCCGATTGCCGCCCTGAGCCTATGGGGGCTCTAGTCGGTTACCCGCGCGGTCACAAACTACGTATCGCTTTACTGGGTGCTCCCACGCATTGACATGCTGCCACTTTCGGAGGACTTGATGTGTCGGCGCAGCTGTGACTTCTGCGAGCCTCAATGGCGACCCACCTCCCAGCCAGGGCCCATTCCGACCTGGTCGGTCCGATCCGATGTCGAGTCTTGCCAGATCGACCCGACTCGATGCCGACATCCCGGCCGCCCGACGCCATCCGATGTCTGCACGGCGCCGTCGTGCACTGTGGCGCGACCGACCCGGTTCTGCTTCGCTTCCAGACATGCCAGGCCAGCCGGATTCGATCGGAGTTCACGGGTCGGGTCCCCTGCGTACCATCTACCCCCTTTTTATCCTCTTATTTCCATGTGCTTAAGTTGTTCCTCCTTCTGGATAACTAATGACAAGTACCTTCTGGAGGCGCGGGAACGAGGCCAGCGCTGCAGCGGGAATGCGATTTTGATTGACCGAAGCGCAGATATTAAGACGATGGGAGGCTCAGGTCAGGAGAGCAGGGCCTGTTTTGTAAAGCGTGCCTGGAGCGAGGCACAGTCGCGTCCCCTGCGTACCATCTACCCCCTTTTATCCTTTGATTTCCACGTGCTTAAGTTGTTCCTCCTTCGTCCCCCTCCCTGGCGGCAGGGTTCAGCGGGCGGGCGGAAGCAAGCTCCGCGCAGGGCTCTGGCGCCTGGCGGGGCCTGCCTGTGGGAGGAGGGGGGGGTAGGGGGATATTGGAGTGACTGAAGTGGTCGGCTTGCTACTCCAGATTTCGTAATAAAGGGAGGGGGGTCTCATTTCGGGGGGGGGTCTCTTCCAGGCTATCTTGGAGGGCCTGGGGGGGTCTGGGGACGATGTTTTGGAGGGTTCTCCCACGGGGGGGGGTCTGAAATGGCTTGTCTTGGATGGTCCCGACCCCCTCCCTTTTATTACGAAATCTGGGGTATTGATCCTCTGGGGAAGCACCCACGGCAGTTTGTGGTAACGGCAATGGCCCGTCTAGGCCCGAGTCTGCATTCCTGAGTTGCGCAGGGTGCCAGATTGTGCGCTTTGGAGTGCTGAGCATCGAAGCTTTGGGTCATGTTCTTCTCCAACTTCTCGGCTGCAGCTGCCTTCCAGGGCTGGAGCCTCCAGACCTGTGGCAGGAGTTCCATCAGATTGCTCCCTGCACGCCCTGCAAGAATCGCACCCTTCGATGGTCGGGCCGCCTGCGCGCCCTCGAGCAGCGCACGTGTCGATGCGGAGCCTCGAGTGGAGAGGCGCGTGCGCGCCCTTGTCCTCCCCTCGTCGTCCTGACGTTCACAGCGTCCTCCATCGCGCCCCCTCCCTCGCTGCAGCGTCAACAGGCGGGCTGACACAAGCGCCGAGTTGAGCTCCTGCACTGGGCAGTGTCCAGCCCTGGAGGCGGTGTGGTGGAGGGTGGGAGGCATCAGCTTGGCATGCTATACCTTGTCTGGGAAGCACCCGCGGCAATTGTCGTAACTGCAACGGCCCATCTAGGCCAGACTGTGCTTCCCATCTTTCGCAGGGTGCGAAGCTGGCATTCCGAAGCCCCAAACAGCGAAGCCTGGGTCCAGTCTCATCTCGCTAGGGTTCCTCCACATGAAGGCTGTCACGATTTTAAGGAAGCTGCTATTCAGGGCAACCCTCCTGCATGCACGGCGGATGCAGCGTGCCCCCACGCCCAGCGTCGCCTGCATGGCAGCGCTGCGCTCCACGCTCGGGCGCGTGCTCCACGCTCGGGCTCGTAGCTCACGCGCGGGCGCGCGGTCAGCGTCCCGGATGCCGCCCTTTCAGTGCGTTCTCCCCGGTGGAGCTCTCACGTCTGGAGGGTGGACCTCGGCCTGCCTCCCATGCGCGAGCAGAGGCCGCCGGCCGCGCCTCCGGGGTCGGGCGAGCGAGAGGCACGGCACGCCGCCTCCCCATCGGGGGGCGGGCCTGCAGAGAGGGGGGTGATGACTATTGGGGGGGGGGGATGTCATGGCGGGGGCCATGACATGTCCCCAGATCTCATGGCGCCTCCTCTTATTTCATTACGTTCCTGGCCCCCGCCCCCCCCCTGGGCCGCGCACATGCCGCCGGTCATGATTTGCACCCCCCCCTCTTGGACATCCCCCCTCTTGGCCGCTCCCGACACATATCTCTCTTCCTCTCTTTCTTTCTCTCCTCCATAGGTTCAAGCTGTCTTCACTTGTTGCTTGCGAGCTGCGCCGTGCTCGCCGTCCCGTTCGTTGCGATTGCGCCTGCGAAAATCCACGGGTAAAAACAAACAAAAAGAAGCGGCCCAAAACGCCCCCCAAGAAGGAACGAAGACGCACGAAGGCCCCCAAGACGCCCCCCAGATGCCCCAGAAGGGTCCCGAGAGGCCCCCAGAGGCGTTCAAAATACTTCCAACAGGCTCCCGAGAGGCTTCTTCAAAGACCCCAAGAAACATTCATTAAGCTTCGCGTCCACATCCCGCACGATGTTCCCGGAGAGGTGCCCAGGAACCTCCAAACCGATGTTCCCAGAATCACCGCTGGAGACCCTAAGATACCTCTAAAAGGCTTCCTCTTACCGCCAGCAGGTCCCCGAAGAGGCTTTCTCGAGGAACATTCCGTCGTCGTCACCTTCCTCGTCGCCGCCTTCGTTGCCGTCGTCGGCGTCGCTGCTGCCGTCGACGAGGACCACGACGATGACGACGGCCTCGGCGACGACGGCGGCGGTGGCGGCGAAGACGACAATGACAACGGTGACGACGGCGGCAGCCGGCGACGATTGCGGCGATGGCGTCGACCAAGGCAACGCCGACGCCGGCGGCACCGAGGCTGCGACGGTGGCGACGGCTACGACGGTGGCGCAGACGACGGCTGCGACGGTGGCGACGCCGACCGCGGCGACGACGGCGTGACAGCATCAGCGGTGTAAGCGAAACAAACGCAGGTAGCAACCCCATGAAGGACATTGCGCGCCTCACGACAGCAGGGTCCGCGGTGACGGGGGTGACGACGTTGATGGCCGCGACGACGGCGGCAGCCGCGCGACGACGTCGTCGACCGACGACGCGGGCCTTACCATGTCTGCTGGTCTACGAGGTGTAAAGCCGTCACCCATGTACTAGCCCCTGTCTGTTATTGCCCCCTTCGTCCTCGTTCTAATCTTCTTCAAGTCCACTTGCCCTCATCATCCTTCTCCTCTCTCTCCCTCATCTCTGTAACCATGTGACACAAGCCTTTCAGGCACAGGACTCTCTCTTTTCATGTCCACTGCGTGCGATGGACGTTTTCACTGCTTGACATGCAGTGCGCACTCATTGTACACATCGCTATAGCGTGCTTGCTGCCGCAGTCCTCTGCAGTCAGAATGTTGTCCGGCTGGGATCGACCTCGTGGTGAAGGCGTTCGGGACCGGCAACTGCTCAGCGCTCCGCTTGAGAGGCAGGAAGCCAGGGCACGCGGCGAGGCCGCAGCAGCCACCCAGAACGGCACCCGAAGGCCCAGGAAGCATCCAGAGCGGGATCATCCTGGTACCCGAGTTCGGCTGCGAGCGAGGGGGAGAAATGAGAAGGAGAAGGCCTTCTCAGAAGGCGGCGGGACCTCTCGGAAACCCTCGCTCCCTCTGAGGAGTTGTTTGTCTGTCTTCGGGGAGGGCTGAACAACTTCTCAGAAGCCTGGGGGATGTCCGAACCTTCTGAGGAGGCCTTCTCCTTCTCAGTTCCCCTTCGCTCGCCGCCGACGAGCACAACGAAACAACGTGGCATGAACACCTGTCGGAGGGCCGCGCGGGTCACGCGGGTCGGCGGTGGACCCTCGCCCCCCCGCCGCGTCCCGTCCCCAGAGCCCTCCTCGCGCCGGGGGCTGCGCAAGAGGCAGGCGATGTCAAGCAGTGGCGAAGCGTCCTGGCTCGCCTATAGGCCCACCAAAGAATGTTCTAAGAGCCTTGTGTGGTCTGCACGAGATGCTCTTAGAGCACTTCTGGCTGAAATTGTCTTGTTTTGTTTATCACCTCGGGTTGTTGTTCGTAGAGCGTTGTATGTGTTCTTTCTCAGAACATGTCGTGGTAGGCCTAGAGGAGTGCCGGGACGGCCGGTCCCTGCTCAACAGTGAGGCTGGGGAGTCGGCGCCCACCTAAGAGGTCCGCGCGGTCCTTCGCCATGAAGGGAAGGGATCCTGAGGGAAGCGGGTCCTGCAGTCAACGCGCCCACTCAGGACGCGCGCCGTCCTCTGGGGTGCCCTTGCTTGGCATCGCTCGGACGTGTGCACTTTTTCTTCGGCGAGGACCATCGAGGAGCATCCTAGATCAAATGGCGAAAAAAACCACGCACGGAACAAAAAAAACACAGGAAATGGACGTTCGAGCGATGGCCAGCTTGTGTCTTTGCCTTTGCGGCCCGTTCTTTGCGGTTTTCACGGGACGTCCGCCGCCCCCCAAAAATCCCAACATTGGCTTCCAAGGGTCCTGCGTCCTCACCACCCGTCCTTCATACACGCTTCGATTGTAAACCCCAGGGTCTGCCCCAGGACCAGCTCTCCATCCTGAGCCGTTCTCCGACGGGCATGGGGCCCGGCAGGGGCCCAGCTTCGGCGAGATGCATCCAGGACCCTGCTCCCTCAGGACACGCTGCTCCCTCCATGCCAACACAGTCCACGCTCACATCGCTTGCCCGGTACTCCAGGTATGTTCCGGGCCTGCGGCGTGGACTGGCTAGACTACGAGCCCTTGCACCTGAACAGCACGGGGGACGCCACGCACTATGCCGCGTGCGCCCCCGCAAGCGGCGACGCCAGCACCATCGGCATCTGCCGGAGCGATGGCCACGGGCACGACAGCTGGGAGTAACCTCTCCTCGGGCCAAGGGACGGCGCAGCACGCGGGCAGGAACCTCGAGGGCCGAGGTTCTTGCTCGCCTCTCGACCCTTGTTGGGCCCCTGGGGGCTTCCGGTGGCCTCCGAATCTCGGACTTCCAGAGAGATTCCCAACTCCACCTCCAGAGACCTCCGGCGAGGTACTGCATGGACCCTCCCGCTGCGAAGTGCGGCGGCCTGGTGGGCTCGCACGGGCCTCCGGCCAAGCTCTTCTTCGTGGTCTGCACACAGGTCTTGGTGCGTCTCCCCGACGATCATGATGATCATGATGATCATGATGATGGGATCCACACAGCGGCCCCAACAGCAGCCCCGACGGCGTCTCCGTCCACTGCTCCCACTGCAGGTCCGGTAGAAGCGCCGAAATCAGCTCCAACTGTAGCGCCAACCGTATCCCCGACTGCGGCTCCCACTGCAACGCCGACGGCAGCGGCGACCCCAGCTCCCTCCGCGGCACCGACGGCTCCAGCGAATGTAGCGTCACCCCCTCTGACCACGCTTGCCGCTGAAGCCGACGCGGGGGCGACGTCACTGATGGTAGTCTCCATGGCGGGCCTCAGCGTGGGCGATGAGATTGTGATCTCTGGCGGGGGCAACGACGAGGTGGTCACCGTTGCGGGCTTCGCGGCAAACGGGGTTTTGTTGACCGCGCCCATGGTGCACGGGTACCCTGCAGATTCGACCGTCGCCAGGAGAACCGACGTTGTCGCGTCCGTGAGAAACGACCCGCACGTGACCAACTTGCACGGCGAGAGATTCGACATCCGCGAGCCGTCGCCCGACTGCACCCTGCTCCGCGTGCCCTACGGCGAGGACAGCCCAGAGTTGCTGAGGCTGAGCGCCACCATTCGAAGAAGAAAGAGCGCCATGAACATAAACGTTTGGCGCTCCGCGCGGATCCAAGGAATCCGCGCGGAGCGCCAAGAGTTTACATTTACGGCGTTCTTCCTACTTCCAGCCATGGACACCGACGGAGTGCAGCCGTGTGGGCTCTACGTCAAGGCGGTTGCCCTGAGCGGCGCGCTGCTCGGCCACCAGGTCGTGCGGGCTCGGCCATGCCAGGAGACCAGAACGCGGCACGAGCACAAGCTTTCGGGAGCCCGCGGGGACCTCTCGTGTCGGCGCCGGGCCCCCGGCACCCCTGGCGTTACGTCGGGCCCCTTGGCATCGCTCGGACTTGTGCATTTTTTCTCGGCGAGATCCATCGAGGACCATCCTGGACCATCGAGCCAAAAAAACACGCACGAAACCGAAAAATGAACGGGAAATAGACGTCCGAGCGACGGCAAGGCCTTAGTTGCCTCGATACGCCCGTTTTGAAACGCAATGCGTCCCGTCTTCAGGACGTCCGTGTCAATACGTTGCATGTTGGCTCCACGTATCGGACCACGTTTTGGCGAGTGTATCGCGCCGGACCTACGTTTTCAGCCTACGTGTGGAGCTCCGTATCAATGCGATACGTGTTGCGTGTTGCGTATCGGGGCAGCTCAGCGTCGGGCGTGTGAAACCCGCCTGTCGGAGGTCATGCCCGACCTATCCTTGGCGGCGCCTCCAGGCGCCCCTCCTCCCCGCCGGCACGAAGCGCGGGCGCCCCGCGCCGTCCCGGAGAATCCGCGCGCAGCGCCTGCGCTCGCGCCGCCTTTTCCGGGGGTCTCCTGCCGTACACGCGTAACGCCGGCGGGTCGAACCAGGCGGGGAACGAGACGAGGACGAACTTCTCGCTGCAGGCGGCGGCTGCTGCAGCAGGGCTGGCTAGGCCAGGGCCCGGGCACTGCGGGCATCCAGGGGCTCCGCGCGCCCGCGCCTTCGGCGAGCCTCCCCGGCGACTGCGCACCTCCAGTGCTCGCCCCTGGGCTATCCACCCCTGCTTCGGAGGGGGGCAAACTGCAGGACCGCAGGCGCGTCAGGCTGCCGGAGGCCCGCGCAGAGCTCGGGGGGTCGGCGCTGCCAGGGCAGCGGCGGAGGCGCCACCCGGGAGGCCCAGCGCCGACCTCGGAGATCCGCGCGGACCTCCGAAAGCGTAGGCGCGCCACCCCGCAGGCTGGGGGTGGTTCGACTGAGGAGGCGGAGGAGGCGGAGGAGGCGGAGGAGGCGGAGGAGGCGGAGGGGGAGGAGGAGGAGGAGGAGGAGGAGGAGGAGGAGGCGGAGGAGGAGGAGGAGGAGGAGGAGGAGGCGGAGGAGGAGGAGGAGGAGGAGGAGGAGGAGGAGGAGGAGGAGGAGGCGGAGGAGGAGGAGGAGAAGGGGGAGGAGGAGCTCAGAGCTCCCAGCCCGCCTCGCACACCCCGCGTGCCGCGGCCGCCGGGCCCAAAGTGTGCTGGTGCTCCCTGTGCATCCCTCCTCGCGTCTTCGACGAGCAGCGGCTGCGCGGGCGCCAGGCCCCAGGGGGCCTGGTGCTTTCTTAGTATCCCGCCTCGCGTTCTCGGGTGGGGATTGCTCGAAGCAAAATGCCATGCGCAGTTTTTGAATTCCACCAGCCTTCAGGGGAAGCCAAGCGTACTCCAGAACAGGCGTACCCTGGAGAGGGGGCCTCAGGGCCCACCTCGGGACGCCCAACGTCTGCGTCTTGGCGCCCTCCGTGGCTGGAACCCTGGCCGCTGCGACGCCTCACGGGCGACACGTCGTCCTTGGAGGAGGAGGAGCAATGGAGCAATGCAGAGAGCGGCCAGGTGCATCACGAAGCCGCCTCGAGAAAATGGAGGGCGACCCAGCCAGGCTGGGGTCGCCTCAGGCGGTGCGGACAAACGCCAACACCGTGCACAGAAACTCACACGGCCTCCGCGGGCAGTGAGTCCGAGCCAGGGGCACCTCCGAGCCACTCCGCGCCGCGCAGGCCGACGGCCTCGGCCCCAGGGCCCGCGACCCCCAACCTCGGAGGCACCTGCTGGGAGTCTTCGGACTCTCTAGGAAAATTCGATGGCGCGTCGGCCAGCAACAGCGGGCTAAGGGCCTCGCCCGTCTTGGGATGACGGCCCTTCTGGGCATTCGACAGGAGCCTCTGCAGCCGATCCCGCTCCGCCCGACTCCCAGACGCCCCAGTCCCGCCCCCCTTGCAGGCACGCACCAGGCCGACCGAGAGGCGCTGCGGGCGCACCGCGTGCGCACGGCAGCGCGTGCAGATTAGCACACAATCCGACTCTTGCACCTGGTGGCCAGGCCCTGGAGTTTGGGGATCGCAGAGACGGGCGTACAGAGATTTGAGAGAGGAGAGGGTGGTTGCCAGGAGGAGGAGGAGGAGGAGGAGGAGGAGGAGGAGGAGGAGGAGGAGGAGGAGAGAGGAGGAGAGGAGGAGGAGAGGAGTGGAGGAGAAAGGAGAGGAGGGAGGAGAGGAGGAGAGGGAGGAGGGAGGAGGGAGGAGGGAGGAGGGAGGAGGAGGAGGAGGAGGGAGGAGGAGGAGGGAGGAGGGAGGAGGGAGGAGGGAGGAGGGAGGAGGATGAGGGAGGAGGATGAGGAGGAGGAGGAGGAGGAGGCCGGCCTTCCCAGAACCTCGCCTCTGCCGAAGGTGGGGAGCTCGGGCTGGAGGGACTTCGGGCAAGTGGCCGCGGGCGCCGACATCCCCGAGGCGAGCGTGGGCGCCCTGCGCGCCCGCTTCGTGCGGAGGGAGGCGTTCGGGCAACGCGTCGAGGCCCAGAGCCTGGAGCTGCGCATCGGCGGGGGGGAGCTCGGAGGGCGCCAGCAATCAAGGGAGGAAAAGCCACGCGGGCACCATGCTTGGCGTTTACTGAACGGCGGCCCAGGGCGTTTGCCAACGGCCCTGGCCGGTTCGATTCCTTCTGCGGCTGCGTTCACTAAACGGCTTCGTGTGTCGGGGTGATTCTTACGGGGATGGACTTCCTGCCATTAAAACAGTTGTTGTTGTTGACGAAGAAGAAGACGAACGAACATAATAATAGTAGTACGAACAATACTACTATACTACTTATCAGAATACTAATAGGCATGCAAATAATAATCATAATACGAATCATAAGGATAATAGTAAGAAAAAGAATATTAACAATAAGAAGCTGCATAACAGAAACTTGCGGAGCTCCGCGCGGATGTCTTGGATCTGTGTGTTGGACAGCCGCCCCGGGCGCGCGCCGCGCGCCCGAGAGGGCGTTTCAGCGCAGGGCCCGAGCCATCCGCGCGGAGCTACGACAGAGTTTCTGCTCATCGTGTTGTGCAGGCCGCGGGCCGGGTCGCGCGCCGCGCCGCCGTGGCGGCGGCCCCAGCGCGGGCGTTCCGGGTGTGAGCGCTGCCAGCGCCATTGCCCCGGGGCGATCGTGCCCCGATCCTCCTCCTCCTCCGCCTCCTCCTCCTCCTCCTCCTCCTCCTCCTCCTCCTCCTCCCTCCTCCTCCTCCTCCTCCTCCCCCTCCTCCTCCTCCTCCTCCTCCTCCTGCTCCTCTTCCTCCCACTGCTTCACTCGGGGCGATTTGTTGCCCCGTTGCGGGCCCCGGGGCCCTCGCGTCTCGATCTGGCTCGACGAGGGCGCCCGAAAGATTGGCTCTATGGCTCCAGTCGTCATCTGCCCGAGGAGGTTAGGTACTGCTTTCGCAGCGTCGGATCTCCGGATCGGAGTTCGCCGACAGCGGGCGACCCGCGCTGTTGCAGAGCCGCGGCCGTTCAAGGGTGAAAGATCCGCGCGGTGTCAGAAGCCAGCGCCCAGGTTCGGCGGCGAGCCTTGGAGGGAAGCGAGAAGGGGCGGGCATTCTCAGCAGGCTCGGACGCCCCCCGGCCTTCTGAGAAGCTTTCGAAGCCTTGTCCGGAGAGACAGAGTAAACCTTCCAGAAGGCGCGAAGGCTTCTGAGAAGTCCCGCCGCCTTCTGAGAAGGCCTTCTCCTTTCGCAGGCCTAGAGGTCGACACCAACACCAAAATCGGCGGTGTGCCTCCACCGAGGGAAGAAGATCCCGATCTCGGTGATGGTGGTAATATTCTGGCTTCCAAGGTGATTGAAATATTGCCACTAACACCGAAATCTAGGATCATCTTCCCCATGTGGAGGCAACTCCCCGTTTTGGTGTTGGTGCCCATTTCTAGGCCTCCAATCCTTCTCAGTTCCCCCCCTCGCTCGCCGCCCACGGAAGCCAGCGCCCAGGTCGTCACCACACGGAGACCTGTCGTTCGACACCCGCGCCGGCCCTGGCGCCGGGCAGATCCAGGGCCCAGGAGCTGTGCTTAGGTGCCTGGTCGAGCTCAGAGGGCGCACACAACCTCCCTCCCCCTCCCCTCCCTTCACCACCCTCCCCCCCCCTCCCCCTCCCCCCCCCCCCCCTCCCCCTCCCATCCCCATCCCCTCTCCATTCCGGGCAGATGTCGGGCGGGCCCAGGGCAGGGATACATCGATGCAGAGCGTTCCGGCGCGCTCGCAGAGCGTCCTGGAGCGCTCTGGAACGGCCGCGGCGCCAGATGCACTTGGCATCGCTCGGACGTGTGCATTTTTCCTTCGGCAAAGACCATCGAGGAGCATCCTTGATCATTTGGCAACAAAAACCACGCACGCAACCGAAAAAAACACAGGGAATGGACGTCCGAGCGATGCCCAGTGCATGCATACTTCAGGACCGCCGCGTCTCGGAGATCTCCGCGGTGTTCTCGTCAGATTTTGTCCCGGTCGCGGCTTCGTCTCAGGCTTGGCCTTGCCAGGGTCGGTGCCGGTGTGCGCAGTCAAGACGCTTGGATAAGGACCACCTCGGGCTGAGGACGGGCTCTGCCGTGCCTCAGGATCTGGGTCGGGGAACCTCTCCGAAGCCGAGGTTCGCCGTGGCCAGAAAAGCCCCTTCGTTTCGTATTCAGCTATCCTTTTGGTCGCACAATGGTTTCATGGCCGGCGCCCTTCCAGGAGTTGCCGGCGGTGTTCCGCATCTCGCAGGCGCCACACCAGGCCCTGAACGTCGAGGTGGTGGGCCTCGGCCACTTGGGCCACGGGAGGATCGGGGGCATCTTCCCTGAAGCCTCTTGTGCTAGATTGTGAGATGCTCGCCTGTGGGACCTTCTTGGGGCCCACCTGACGGATTTATCCGATTGTAGTTTGGCTCGAGTCCGACTCTAGCTCGACTCTGGTCGGGGAAACGTAAGACTCGAGGGCGCCGGGACGAAGGTTTACCGACGTTTTTTGACGAGCGCGTCCTGAATTTTGACGGACCGATTTTCGCCAGATGTCTGCAGCGGGAGCTCGCGTCACATTTCAGATCGGGTCTCGCCATTTTCATGGTGGCCCTGTCAGGCCAACCCAAGTCCCCCGTACCCGAGTCTCACTCAGGAGAGAAAAAACACACAGACACAATTAATCGTCGATTCCAGAGAGAATCGGAGAATCGGGGAAAACATGGGCAGGGGGGGGGGGGAAGACAAAAACCCCGAAAACGTTGGAAAATATGGCGACTCCTTTGATTCGTGTCTATTTATTTTTGTGTCCTCAGGGCCCCTTCAGTTGAAGGGGCCCTGGGACACAAAGAGATACACACAAATAAAAGGATTCACCATATTCTCCCATATGCTCCAGGTTTTTGTCCCCCCCCACACTTCCCACATTTTCCCATAGTTTCGGGGAAATCGACGATTAATTGTGTGTGTGTGTGTGTCTGTTTCCCTCCTGAATCTCCCCGATCGATGGGTCGACTCGAGCTCCATGCAAGTCGTCCGACGCCTCGACGCAGCCTCGGCGCTTTGGGGGGGAGCGAAAGCGGCTCCAGGGAGGTCCCCAGAGCGTGCACATCTGAGCCGTGGGATCCCTGCAGGAAGGCCCCCAGAGGCCTCCTCCCCTGCAGGGAGGCCCCCGGAGGCCTCCGGAGGCTCCCAGAGTCAAAAGGGGATAAAAAAACACAGACACAATTAATCGTCGATCTCCCAGGAAATTACAAGAACATATGGGAAGTGGAGGGGACGACAGAAACCCAGGAAATGTTAGAAAATATGGGGAATCCTGTGATCTGTGTGTATTTATCTGTGTGTCCCAGGGCCCCTTCATAGGGTGAAGTCGGGCCTGTCCCTCTACAGGAGGATCGGGCCAGACGAAAGGGGGGGGATAGGGAATTGGGAGCCTCGAGACGGGGGTCAATGCAGACGGGGGTCGGCCAGGGCACCGGATCCTGCAGGATCCTGCGAAGAGCCCCTCTGGCTGACCCGGGTTAGCGAGCCGCTCGTGGCCGCGAGGCGGCCGCGCCTATTGGCTGACCCAGGTTTGCGAAGACCTGCGTTGCATTTTTTTTCCTACATTGCATTTTTTCGTTTCCTGCTGACCCGGGTCCGGATTGACCCCGGTCAGAAGATCCCCCTTGTCCCTCTACAGGAGCAAAATTCAAGAATGGTAAAAAAGAAAGTCTGGAGACGATTTTTTGTTTTTTCTTATAATTTTTGAATATTGTTTAACCATTTTGAATGGTTCGTCCAAAACCCGCCTGTAGGGGGACATGCCCGACCGAACCCTAGAGGCCACGCGCCGACGAAGCAAGTGCAGGATCTGTTTTCTCGATGCGCGGATGCCTAATCTGATGGGTCGCTCCAGGATGGGCCTCGCTGGTGAGGGCTCGAAGGAGTCGGCACCCCTTCCCCAGCGGAAGGCGGCGGAAGCAAAGCCGCGGGTCGGCTCCCCTGGCGGAAGGCCGGCGGCAGCCAGCGGAGGTAAAACGTTTGCCTCCCAGAGACGACAGCAGTTTGGGATGCAGGGCGTCTGGCCGCAGCCGCAAGCAGCAGCAGCAGCAACAGCAGCAACAGTAAGAAGCAAGGATGTCCGAGCCCGTGGCTGCCTGCACGCCCTCGTGTGCTCGGCTGCGCTCTTGCTTTTTTTATGGACACTGCGCAAGCCAGACGAACACTTGAGATGTCCCTTCCATCAAGCAGTGGCGAGGCGTCTTGGCGTGCCTATAGTCCTACCAGACAATGTTCTAAGAACCCGTTGTGGTTGCCACGGAATGTTCTTGAACATTTCTGGCCGGGGCTGTCTTGTTTTATCACATCGGGTTCGTGTTCTAAGAAAATTGTTTTTGTTCTTAGAACATGTTTGGGTTCAAAGAACATGTCGTGGTAGGACTATAGGAATGCCGGGACGGTCGGTCCCTGCTCAATTCCAATGCGTGGCCATGGGTGCGTTTATGTCCTTGGCGCTTCCGCCGTGAGCGTCTGGGTGATGGAGTGTCAGTCTGTTGCGGTGTGCCTGAAATGTGGGATGATCTTCGGACTCCGCAGGGGGACGATGTCGACGCCGACGACGATGACGGTGACGATGACGATGACGATGACGATGTCATCGTCGTCGGGCAGGGGGTGCCCAAACCAGAGCTTCCTTGGAGGCGTCCACACGATTTTGGCCGCGAAGAGGCAAGTGAAGCGCTTCCTGGCGGCTCTCCCTTGGGGTGCCCAAGAGTCATGCCTGCTACATCCCGGTGGTTGTGGAGCTCCCGATGGAGAGGAGGCGGGGGTGCCCAAGCCAGAGTTCCCAAACGAGGCGCAGCCGCTGGAGGGCATCCCGAGGCTGGCAAGCCGCCGAGAGCCGACGAAGACGTCCGAAAACCTCGAGTCTCGGAGGCCCGAACGTCTCCTCCTTCTCGACCCCCTCCCCCTCTCTCTTCTCCTCATCCGCCTCGTCAACCGTGCCCACAGCATCCTCCTGCCTCGTCCTCGTCCTATTTCCTATCCTCTCGTCTTCTCTCCTTCCCTCCCCTCTCTCCTCCTCTTCCTCCGCCCCTTGCGCCTCCCCATCCATTCTCCCAGGCGGAAGCCTCGTGCTGACGAGAACCGACGAGAACGACCGAACATCTCGAGTCTCGAAGGCCCGAAACTTGAGTAAAACAAGCCACTCCACCGGCGAAAAATGCTGGAGGTCCGTGCGGAGCGCCGAAGGTTGATGCCTGTGCAGGTGGTTCGTTCTTTTGGGAAGGCTCGAAGCGCTGACCCCTTCACGCTTCGAAGAAGAAGCACAACCATGAATTTGCGGCGCTCCGCGCGGATGTCCTCGGATCCGCGCTGGGCCCCCCCGGCGCCGCCCCTGGCGCGCTCCGCGCGCCAGGGAGGGCTGTCCGGCGCAGATCCAAGAAATCCGAGCGGAGCGCCAAAAGACCATGTTTCAGTCGGGCGTGTCCCTCTACAGGACGAACTTCCCAAAAGAATCACAAAAATAGTCTGGGGACGTTTTTTAAATGTATATCTATACATATATATATATATATGTTATACAATTTTGGATTGTTTTTGGGGTGTTTTTGATTTTTTCATCCAAAACCCTCCTGTAGGGGGACAGGCCCGACCTAATGATAGCCATTGCGGGTTGGAATTTGTTATCTCGATCGCGACGACAGCGACGAAGGCTATGATGGCGATCGCGAGCCAGCGACGATGGCGATGATAGCGATCGCGCGATGATAGCGATCGAGCTCTCATCGAGGCCTGACCTCTCTCTTTTAGGGCCAACCCATACCAGACCACATCATGCCGTCGACCCGCATGGTAAGAATGGGCGACCTCCCCCAGGGTACCCCTTGCCATCCTTGCCCCTTCGGCCCATCCTCAGGGATCTTCGCTTGCCAGCCTCGCTTGAACAACGTCCACGTGGGCCTCCCAAGGCCCTTACACCCTTACCGCGCATCCTTCTGATACGGGTCGGTTGTGTCCACTCCTCCTGCTCCTCCTCCCCCCCCCCTCATCCCACTCCTCCTCTTCCTCCTCCTCCTCCTCCTCCTCCTCCTCCTCCTCCTCCCCCTGCTCCCTCCTCCCTCCTCCCTCCTCCCTCGTCTCTCCTCCTCCTCCTCCTGCTCCTTCTTCTCCTCCTCCCCGCCGTCAGGCCGAGGCAATCTTCAAATGCCTCGCCACCGCGGATAAGCAGTGCAGCCTGGGCTGCGTGTGGTACCCCCTGAATGTGGTGTGGGTCCGATGATGTCACGCTCCTTCTCCCGCCCGCTCGCGGGTGCGATAAGGAACGGGCGGAAGGCGGCACTTTCCTCTGGGAGGTTCGTTGTCGTTCGTTGTCGTCCGTCGTGTCTCGCTTCGTCGTCGTGTCCTTCGCCTTTTCCTCTTTGGGAGTTGCGGCACGGCCCTGGATTAAGTTCCGGGGTGGACGACGTGTGCGCTCCTGGGCCGGAGAGTGGCGCCCCCCCCCCGCCTCCCTGCCCTGCTGCCGCCGCTGTCGCCGTTGCAGCTGTCAGGTCAGGGCTTTTAGTTCCCTGCCACCCCAGCCACGAGGCGCGGCCTGGGCGCGGGGAGACCCCAGTGGCACCTCCTGGTCTGAGGTGAACCGCCGTTGACGATCACGGAGGCGGGTCCCACGGCCTCCCGCCTGCGACCTCTTGGTTGCAGCGCTCTTTGCCGCGGGCGTACTGTTGCCGCGCCAGTGGGGGGGGGGGCGGGCGCTGGGCAGCGCTCCGAGCATTGTCCCTTGGGCACCGATCCCGAACCCCCATGCGCCATTTTGGCGCGGGGTGTAGGGCAGTCCTTGGTTTGTTTTTTTTGTTGTTCTGGATTTCCTCCCTGAGGCAAATCGTTTCTGGCGCTATCGGGAGTTAGTCAGGGAAAGGAAGCCGGAGGTCAGGTCCCAGCTCGTGTCCGTGATTTCCCCTTTTTGCGCGTGTGCCTTTGGCGTTGGCCGTTGGCCACGTTGGCCGTTGGCCAGGGCACACTGGCCCGCGCTTAGTTGAGCGCCGCGGTTTTGTTCTGCCCCTTGGGGCCTGCAACGACGCCCTCCTGCCCTCCCTCCTCCTCCTCCTCCTCCTCCTCCTCCTCCTCCTCCTCCTCCTCCTCCTCCTCCTCCTGCTCCCCCTCCTCCTGCTCCTCCTCCTGCTCCCCCTCCTCCTCGGGCTCTTCCGGCTCCTCCTCCTCCTCTTCCTCCTCCTCCTCCTCCTCCTCCTCCTCCTCCTCCTCCCCTCCTCTTCCCCTCTCCTCCTCCTCCTCCTCCTCCTTCTCCTCCTCCTCCTCCTCCTCCTCTCCTCCTCCTCCTCGTCCTCCTCCTCATCCTCCTCTTCCTCCGCCCTCCTCGCCATTAGGGCCAACCCGTGCCACTCGAGGATCGGGGGCGCCCTCGGCACCGAGGGGCACGCCGCCGCGCTGGAGGAGCCCAGCCTGCGCTGCCGCCGCGCGGCGGCGCCGCCCGCGGCCGAAGGGCCCAACCAGGCCCTCATGGCGCGGAGCCCCGCCCTGGCACCCAGGGGAGGAACATCCTTCTCCTGCTCCTGCTCCTGCTCCTGTTCCTGCTCCTCCTCCTCCTCCTCCTCCTCCTCCTCCTCCTCCTCCTCCTCCTCCTCCTCCTCCTCCTCCTCCTCCTCCTCCTCCGCCTCTTCCCATTTTGGCTCAAGCGGTCGCACGGCTCGGGGCCCCCCGCGGCGGGCTGAGCCTAGAGGGACTTTCACGGCGGACGCCGCCGCCGTCGTCGAGGCGGCTGTGCGGGGAGCCGTGTCTGCAAAGGCTCCAAGGCGCACGGTGGCTGCCGTGGCGCGATCGGCCGTGAGCGCAGCGCTCTTCGCGCTGCGCGAGCGGCCAGCGGCGCCTGCTGCTGCCGAGGCGCCTCGTGGAGCTGTTCCTCGTGCTGCTGTTCCTGCGGCCGCCTCCGCGGCCAAGCTGGAGCGGCGCAGGCGACGCCGCCAGCGCCTCGCGCAACGGCGGCGTGACGACGCCGGAGATGCTGGTCGCGGCAGCGGCGCGCGCGCGCGGGCGCGGGCACGGGCGGCGCTGGTGCGGGCCTGGATCTCGCGGTCGTGTCCATGGGCGTCGACGAGGGCTTGGACTTCAACGACGAGTGGGCGGGCGCGCCGCCGTCGCGCGCCGCGCGGAGGCGGTTGCGGCGCACCGACACGGTGGCAGCGGAGGCCCTTCAGCCTCCTGGTGCCACGGCGGCGGCTGCAGGCGGGCTCGACGACCCGATCGCCGCCCTCCTCGCCGTCGCCACGGCACCGGACGTCGAGGCCTGGCGTTAGGCTTGCGGCGTCGGCGGCACGGCGGCGGCGCGCTTGGCCGCCCTGGGCCTGTCGGGCGCCGGCTCCGAGGCGGGGCCTCGTCGCGGAGCTGGCGGCGGAGGTCGCGATCGGCCTCACGGTCGGGGGTCCTGAGCACGCCGCTGGAGGCGCAGGGCCCCCGTGGAATTGGGTTCGCCGCTGGAGGCGCAGGTCGCCCGTGCTCGCGCGGGCGGGCTGGGGTGGGCAGGTTCGACTGGCCGCTTGTGGGACGTGGGCATCACCCTCCTCCTCTTCCTCTTCCTCCTCCGCTTCCTTTTCGTCCGTAACCATTTTGGTTCAAGCTGTTTCTTCCCGCTTTCGTGCCTCAGCCATCTTCGGGTGATGGCGGCGTGGCGGGCAGACGGCGTGGCTACGGGGGGCGGCCCGCCCGTGTGACTGCCCAGCTCGCAGCGGGCTGCCGAGATCTGCGCCCTCGGGCCCGTTGCCGCGCGCCGCGCTACTCGCCACCGTCGTCAGGCAGCCTGCGACGCATGCCTGCGCGCGCAGGCAGCTGGCGGCGGCCCCGGCAGCTGGCAGGACCGGGAGCTGGCCTCCCGCCCAGCCCTCCGCCGTGTCGCCGCCGGCCTTCGCGTACCTGGCCGTATTCGACGTCGCCGTAACGCGGCCTGGCATTCCGCGGTGGCGCCGCCGAAGGGCTTCTCGTCGGCGTCGGACGCGGAGATCTCTGCAGCGGCTTCTGGACCCGGGCTGGGCGCAGCTGCTCGGCCACTGCTGGCGGAGGCGGAAGTGCTGGCAGCAGATGGGCTCAGTGACGGAGCGCGTGGTGCTCATGCGTCAGGTGCAGCGTTGTGGGACGTCTTTTCCTGGCTGTGCCCTCCTGGCGGGGCCGCGCTGGCATTGCCCACGCTCCCAGCGGGGATCGGGGTGTGGCACGCCGCCCACCTGGAGGAGCTGCTGCAGGCGAGGGCGCAGCCCGCCATTGGCCCCAAGTACGTCGTCATCGAGGTGCCGCCGCTGAAGCCGCCGCCTGTCGTTGATGGCGATCCTTGCGGAGGTGCCTGCCCTTCCGCCGAGCGCCCTGCAGATCTGGCCCCCTCCTGTCTGCTGCAGGGCCTCTGGGAGCCACTTTGGGAACCCAGCCCTCCCTCCATGCCCGAACCCCCTGTCGAAGCGGAGGCGGGGCGCAGCGCAGAGGAGGGAGCTGTGGGGCCCAGAGTTGGCGACGCATATTCATTTTGCAATCCTTCGGACCGCTCAGGAGAGGACGACCTCAGCGAGATGCACGACGGTTTCGAACATCTTTTCATTGTTGACGCGTCGCTTGGTGTCCCTGCTACGACTTGTGGTATACGGCGTACGTGCACCACGGCCCACGTTGTCCAGCTCGTCGATGCGGCGCTCATCGCAGTGCTGGAGGGTCACACTTGCGACGGTTGCTCGGTGGTTATTGCTGAAGCCGATGGGTCCGACTCCGAGGCTCTGTGGTGCAGGGACTGCGGCATGTTCGTGTGCCCCTGGTGCTTGCCGCCCTGGCTGGAGAAGCGCGTCGACGTGATTGCGGGTTCATCAAAGTGATCACCTCGTGGTCTGCCTGGCCGTCGTCTTCGTGCAGCCGTGCACGTACGGCCAGGAGGAGCGGAGTGGTGGGGGTCTCCGCCAGAGGAGTGCAGCGGCAAAATCCTCCTCTTCCTCTTCCTTCTCCTCCTTGTCGTCCTCCTCCTCGTCCTCCTCTTCCTCCTCCTCCTCCTCCTCCTCCTCGTCCTCGGTCGGAAAGACGATTTCGGGGAACGAGCATTGACGGAGACATAACAACTCGGAGGTCCGCACTGGACTCCCCTGGCGGCGCCTCCAGCGCCGCCCCTGGCGCGCTCCGCGCGCCGGGGAGGGGGGGTCCAGCGCCGATCCGAGATATCCGCGCGGACCTCCGAGTTGTGATCTTTATGTCGATGTTCGTTCCCCTACGATTGCAGTCAACCAGCATACTGTAGCGCCATGTTGCTCGGCGTGTTTCGCCGTGTAGTCTGTTTTGAGCGACGCAGAAATCGGGCTTCGATTGCGCCGACATCGGCGCGCAACCTGCCCGCGCAAGGCCGCGCGTGAGCGCCCTCGCTTCCAGGGTGGCGTGCTGCGCTGGCGACCCGCGCGCGTGTGTTTTTCCCCACAGTGTGTTTTTCCCCCTCCCACCCCCCACACACACAGCTGCGGCGTAAGGTCGCTACGTCAACTCGCGCAAGATTCGTTTCTCATCGTCGCTTCTTTGGCAGGGATACATACGGCCCGAGGCAGTCGACCCGGACCGGAAGGATGAACGACCTTCCCAAGGGCATCCTTGCGCCCTTGCCTCCGCCTCGATCGATCCTTGGCCTTTTTCGTCGACCGCGCCCCGCCCGAAAAGCTCCGAAACGGCCTCCCAACGCCCTTGCATCCTCACCGCGCATCCTCGTGATACGGGTTGGTTGTATCGGATTGGGAGGATAGGGCTGGGAGAGGTGATCAGATCGTACATCGGATTGCGCATGCTGAAGGTGTTAGCTGCGCAGTCGCAACCTCCATATTCCCAACCCCCTTGTTCCCAACACGAAAATTGTTTTGTTCTCAAGGAGGAGGGAATCGAACAAATAAGACGGGGGTCCCGCGCGATTCCACGAAATCCGCGTGGACCTCCAGTTAATGCTTCCATCCCTGTTCTAGGAAACAATACCGACACCGCTGCTCGGCTGTTCGTCCAGGAGAACCCTCGTCAACGCGACCGGACTCTCCTCGGGGTTCTGCCAAGAATGCGCCCTGGGAGAGGGCTACGGAGTGACAGCACCCGTACCTTTTTGCTTCCCCAGGCGCCGGCGCTGGCCTCGTCCGTGAGCGCCGCATGGTAGTGAGTCTCGACCCCACCCAGACATGCTCATACTATGTGTGCGTCGCCCCCGAAGGGGCGACGCGCGCGCCGAGAAATCCGATAGATAGAATTCAGGAGGAAAAGAAAAACACAGACACAATTAATCCTCGATTCCCCCGAAAATATTGGAAACTATGAGAAGTGGGGGGAAGACAAAAACCCAGAAAATATCGGGAAGTATGGGGGATCGTTTTATTTGTGTGTATTTATTTGTGTGTCCTTGGGCCCCTCCAAGAATATGCTCCGAGGCGGGCGCTTTCTGGCCGTACCGCTCGGGAAACAGTGTACTGCAAGTCGGACGTCCTTTTTGTTCGGGTCGGGCGCACGCCTCCGAAGAGGGCACATAGTACTAGTATGTCTTTCTGCGTCCCGTGAGTCCGAAGATTACCAGCCTCGAACGTATCCCTATCCCTAAGATTGACACGCCAAAAGGCGATGACAATCTTAGAGATTCGCCCTCAAAAAATAAGGGAATCCCTAAGATTGGCATCGTGATGAGGAGGTGCCCAGCATAGAGATAGGGATCTGTTCCAGGCTGGTAAGAAGATGAAAAGAGCTGCACAAGCATAAGCTCTCGGAGGTCTGCGCGGGTTTGTCGGGGGTCGGCATGGGGCCCTCCATGGCGGCGCCACCGGCGCCGCGCCCGCCAGGGAGCGGGGCCTCGCGCCGGTCCAAGAAGGCCGCGCGGATCTCCGAAAGGTCCGGTTTGTCAAGCAGTGGCGGAGCGTCTTGGCTCGCCTACAGTCAACTCGCATAGTGGGGATGGACAACCTTCCCAAGGGTACCCTTGCATCTTTGTCTTCCCGGTCCGTCCTTGGCCGCTTTCGCTGGCCAACCTCGTTCGAAAAACATTGACGTGGCCCTCCAAGGCCCTTGCATCCTTACCGCGCATCCTTATGATACGGGCTTACAGTGTGGGCCCACCAGAGAGTGTTCTTAGATCCTGCTGTGGTTTGCACGAAACGTTCTTAGAGCATTTCTGGCTGACACCGTGACCGTTCTGTTTTCACACATCGGCTCTATGTTATAAGAACTATGTTGTCGTTCTCAGAACACTCCCTTGCTCTGAGAGCATGTCGTGGTAGGCCTACATGAATACCTGGACGGCTGGTCCCTGCTCAAGTTCGTGCACTTGTTTCTGCTTCTATGAGTGCGCCGCGTGTGCCTCCGGCTCCTCCTCCTCAGCCTCCTCCTCCTCATCCCCTTCCCCCTCCTCCTCCATCTCCTCCTCCTCCTCCTCCTTCTCCTCCTCCTCTTCCCTTCCTCATCTTCCCTCGTCCTGATCCTCTCTCCTCCTCTCTCCCCATCCCGCTCACCTCTCTTCTGAAAAACTCCCCTCGGTCGCATCACCAGACGTCCGTAGGCCGTGCCAGGCGTTTCGCGTGAGGCTTCCCGACGGTGTCCATCGTGAAACTCTTGAACTCCCACAGGTCGCACGAATGGAAGACGAGTTGTTTCCAAGGAGGGGCTCTCGCGGCAGCGCCGCGCCTTTTTTTGTAAGCCTGCGATTGTTATTGCGAGCAATGTCAGAAATACCCCCCTGGGCTCGAATAGCTACAACCACGGATAGAACTCCAGGGCCACAAGTGTTTTTGAATTGTGTCCCTCTCCGCTCCTGTCCCCCTTCTCGTACTCTGCACGGGCCAGGAGGAGGAGGAGGAGGAGGAGGAGGAGGAGGAGGAGGAGGAGGAGGAGGAAGAGCAGCAGCAGCAGATGCAGAAGCAGCAGTAGCAGCAGCAGCAGCGGAAGGAGGAGGCAAGCCCGGCTTGAAATGCCTCAAAGAGGGCCCGAGGGCGTCTGGGGGGAGCCCGCCACGGCCACAGGAAGCCCCAAGACGGCCCCAGAATGGCCCGACAACTCTCGCGATTTAAGAATAGGGCCCCAAGACAGCCTCACGAGAGCCAAACGGCCCCAAGAGAGCCAAACGAGGGCCCGGTGAGTAACCACGAACTGCCACAATCGGGTAACAAAAGTGCAGATGGGGCATTTTCCCCTTTCTCAATCCCAATGTGCAGCACGATTCTTAGCGCATACTCCGAAGATCGCTCCAAAAAGAGCCTTGATGGGCAGCAGGGTGTTGAACGGCCTTAGGAGAGCCTTGAGGGTCACACCATATCCCAGGACCGCCCCTCCGTGAGCGTCCAGAGAAGCCCAAGACGGCCCAAAATGGCCCCAATATTGCCAATGACAGTCCTTAGATGGCCCGATACGGCGCCACTTTTTTGTCCCAGGTGGATTTATGTCTCGCCCCTCAGACTGCCAGAAGCAGTCCAGATTTGATGCGATACCAATTGCTCTGTCACCGCTTTGCCAAGTCGCGTGCGATGGGCGGAGGGAACGGAGAAGGACCTGGAACAGAGCGAGCATGGAGGGGGACAGCACACGCACTAGTATTTATGGTGTCGTGGATGGGGTCCGCCAGAACGTTCTTGTCACAGTGCCGACAGCCGTACGAGTAAGCAAACAGGAGGAGTACAATGACGAGAGGGGCAGGCAGCACTGGCATGCGAAAGCCTGGAATCATTCGGGAGGGGAAATCGAGAGGTAGGACGAGCAGGGAAGGGACTGCACATGTTCCACGAACGTTCTGGGGCGCGTCCGCCATGACATCCTGAGCGCAGCGACGAAACATATGTGAGAGACGAAGCGAGGACGAAGAAGGCGTACGCATTGGCTGGCGCCGGCTTTCTCCTTGTCTCCCCCGCCTTCTCTTCTATCTTCCTCCCTTCACGCGCTATGATTCGTAGGTGTACTGTTTCTCCGCCGTGGCAGTCCCCTGCCCGCTGCGCCGCTGGCTGAGTTTGACCCACAGACCCCTTCTGGGTGCCCGAGCGCCCCAGCTCGGCCCTTCTGCTCTCGCCTGCTCCGTTTCGAGCTCGAGAGATCTCGAGAGGACAGCCGGCGCTGCGAACTGTCAGCGAGATGGTAGTCCGCAGCTGTTGCCGCGTTTCTCGGAGGATCAGGTCTATGCCCATGAAAAGAAACCATCGTTGCCGATTGCCAGTTTCCCCCAGATTTGCATGCTGGATTCTTCAACGCGGCCTTCTAAGACGTTTCCATCTGCTTCGCAACCACTCTTGTCCATTGTAGGTTTGCAAACCTGCCAGTATGTTGCACAGTTGAACTTGTGGATCGCTGGCAGTGGCAAGATCTACGTGCGTGCATCAAAACGCCCGTGTGCATGTGCAGTTCCGTTCGTATCTGTGAGCGCGGACGTCCACGTTTTTCTGCTTGCTCGCTTGTCTTATCCGTTGGCCCGGGGACTGGAACATCGAGGGGCAAAGTTGGGACCGCCGACTCCCACTTGGGGTCGACCCCCTCAGTGGCAGCCCCTGCCTCCCGGTGCCTCCCCGCTCGCCATCCGCTGCACCCCTCCTTTGGGCAGCCCTCGAATTCGGCGATCGTCTCGCAGTTCACGGCCTCCATGGGCTGGCGAGGTCGAGTCTGCATCTGCGCCTGGTACCCACTGTGCCCCCACGCAACAGCCTTCGAAGGTAGCGACAGTCTTGCAGTTCGCAGCCCCCCAGGGATGGCGAGATCTACTTTGTGCCTGCGCCTTGTACCCACTACGCTGGACCCCCCCCAGCAGCCTTGGAAAGTAGCTACAGTTTCGCAGTTCGCATCCCCCCAGGGATGGCGAGGTCTTTTCTAAATCTGCGCCCGGTACCCACTATGCTGGCCATCTAGCAGCCCTCGAAAGTGACGACAGTTTAGGAGTTCGCAGCCCCGCAGGGACGGCGAGGTCTTGTTTAAACTTGCGCCTGGCACCCACTATGCTGACCCCCCCCCGCAGCCCTCGAAAGTGGCGACAGATCCGCAGTTCGCAGCCACCCCAGGGCGGGCGAGGACTAATCTGAACCTGCGCCTCGTATCAAATATGCGGGTCCCCCAAGCATCCCTGGAACGTGGCGACCGCCGTTTCGCAGGTCGCAGCCTCCCCGAGGATGGCGGGGCAACACAGGACGGCGAGGTCAGAGGCCGGCTGGCTGGACGGTACATGCCAGGTAATTAGGGGGCAGGAGAGAGGAGCAGGATGGAAGAGAGGAGGAGGGAGGCAGGCAGGAAGGAAGGAAGGTCTCGACCGCGGCGCTCCATCGAAAACGAGAACCCAGAGCCAAAGCAGGAGGGCTGGAAGAAACATCGGCGCCCGCAGCGGGCTTCCCCCGGGGAGCCTCGCAGGCTGCCGACGAGCCCGCCTCCCCGCGCTCCTACCCGCAGCAGCGGGGTACGCTCCCCACTCAGTGCTTGCACTTGGGGCGTCCTGCGGTGGCGGCCCATGCCAAGAAGCACCCCGCTTGCCTCCAGGGTGCCCTGGGTTTCTTGGGTGTCGATGGTTTTGCTGTGGAAGGCGTGGCGTTCCCACACCGAAAGTCAGTGGACGACCCCGGGATCTCAGGGTTGGGTTTCTTGCGGAAGGGTTCTCGTGGTCGGGCCTCCACTGCATTTTTTTTTCTAAGGACCTGGGCCCGTTTGCCGGCCCGGCGGCTCCGTTCTCTTCAGTTGCCGCCCCTTGTTTCGTCATAAATTGTCAGTCTGCGGGTCAGGCGGCCCCGTTCTCGTCCGTCGCCGCCGCTCCGATGCACCCCCTCCGTTGCTTTGCAATCACATTGCATTCTAATCGCATACCGTTGCATTGCAATCGCATTGCATTGCAGGTCTTTGCAGTGTTTGCAATCGCATTCCATTGCAATCACATTGCATTGCATTGCATTGCAATATCATTGCTTCGCATTGCGACGCGTTGCTTTGCAGTGTGTTGCATTGGTTTGCAGTGATTTGCATTGTTTTGCACTGCTTTGCATTACTTTGGATCGTTTTGCATCGCTTTGCACCCGTTTGCATCGCATTGCATAGTTTTGCATTGCGTTGAACTGTGTTGCATTGCGTTGCATTGCTTTGTGTTGGTTTGCATTGCGTTGTCTTGGTTTGCGTTGCTTTCTTTGCACCGCTTTGAATTGCCCTGCATTGCTTTGCATTGCTTTTTGGATGCTTCATCTTGCTCGTTGCACCACATGGGTTGCACCACCTAGATTGCACAGCTTTGATTGCACCACCTCGGTTGCGCCGCACAACTTGCTGTCTTGCTGGCTAACATGAACCGCGATCTTGGTACATAGGTACATTGTGAGAGTGATAGATACTGCGTTCGACGGGTAGCTTGATAGCGCATCGGCATATTGACAGTGATGCCGATCTGTAAGATCGGTGCCTGGTGGTTGACCCGTGATTGTCTTGTGATGTTCCCGCGTTTGTTTTGTTTCTGATCCGAGGTAATCTCGTGATTGTCTCGTGTTTTTCCCGTGGCTGCCTCGCGGATGCTCCGTGGTCATTCCGTGGTCATCCCGTTGTTGTCCCGCGATTGTTCTGTGGTTGTCTTGTGTCTGTCCCGTGGCTGTCCCGTGGTCGTCATGTGGTTTTCTCGCTGTTGCACCGTAGATGTCTGGTGGCTTCCCGCGGTTGTCCCGTGGGTTGTCCCGTCCTTGTTCCATCGCTGAGCAGATTTTGCATCCAGTAGGCATGCAGTGATAGATCTGTACACATATGTGCATTCACATACATATATGTATCCTTATACGTATATACCTGAATTAATGGTGTTGGTGGTACGATCAGCGCGTCGACACATAGTGAGATCGACCGATTGTGAAGCAGGTTGATATTCTGAATGTTTGATATCCAGATATGTACTGAGACTGACAGAATGGGATATCGATAGATCGATCTGGAGATTTTTGAGCAGATAAGTCGCGAGTATGGTCCCTCCAACCTTCTTATCTCCCGACGGGTGATACATACATACGTACAGACATATCATATATAGTATCCGCGAGGGCGCAGATACTGATATGCTCGCCGCTCGGGTTGGACCCCGAGTCCACACCACACTGCTGCACGATGGCCGAGCGCTCGGTTTGGGAGCCCTGTTAGGGCCGTCTGGGGACGTCCTTTAAGCCTTCCATCATTTGACCAAATATTGTTCCTCAGTGACTTTTGCATGTCCGCCTTGCCTGTCTCAAGATGTCCAGGCCCAAGAGGGCCTCAACGACAGCGAGGACCGACCCATGGCCCATGATGATCCTCCTCGGGGTGTCCTGCACAGGGGGAAGCATCGAGGACCCAGGTTCTGGGATTGTCACTTGCCTTCGGTGGGCCTCTGGGGGATTCTGGGGACCTCAATTGAGCGGCGCAAGAACACGGGGTCGTCTACGCAGACATTCGTGCGTAAGCTGCTCGCGCAAGGTCGCGCGTAAGCGCCCTCGTCTTTCAATGTGGCGTGCCGCGCGGGCGGCCCGCGTAAGCCGCGGCGTTGGGTCGCTGCGTCATCTCGCGCAGGACCCGTTTTTGATCGTCGCTCAGTGAGGCTTTCGACTTCTTGTGGGCCTCCGGGGGCTCCAGGGGGACATCCGGACCTCCGTGGAGGTCCTTGGAGATCTTCGGAGGCCCGCGGAGGCCCGAAGGCCTCCGCTGCGTCCCGCGGAGCCCGCCCCCCGACAGCTCGTCTTCGTCCGTCGTCCGTCGCTTGTCCGTCGGTCGTGTCGTAGTTCCGTTCTCCGCTCTCTGCTCGGAGGAGGAAGAGGTGCCCATACATCTACCCCCTCGCCCGTGTTCCCCTTGCTTGGCCTCCTGGGAGGCCCTCATCGCCACCGCTGGATTCGCCTGGAGATCCTGGTCAGAGCGCAGGCCGGGAGAGGTCCGGGCAGTGGCGGCATCGGTACCCTGTGGCTTCCTCCTATGCGCGCCACGTCGTGTGGTCGGCCAGGGAGCGAAGTAGTTCTGCGATGGCATGCAATGTGATCACAAACGCTCCAGCGCCCAAGAGGTGGGGAAGGCGGGGCGTCTACACGCCACCGGGCCGACCAGGCGGTTTGGCGTACGCTTCGAGTCACTCTCATGCTCCTCAGGCCTTTTGCGGTGGTGGTAAGAGAGTGTGCCTGCTGCCTTTCCTTGCGATGCACGCGGCCATCAGCGGCGCCCGACCGACGCGCCCCCAGTACGAACCCCTCGAAGAGACTCCGAGCGCGGCGTGGCGCGAGGTCGGAGAGCTCGAAACTGCAGAAGCGCAACCTTTTGTTTGTTCGGAGGCCCACGCGGATCCCTTGGGTCGGCGCTGTCTGCCAGTCTGATCCTCTTCTCCTCTGTGGGAAGGGGGCTCCCCCCCTCCTCCTCCTCCTCCTCCTCCTCCTCCTCCTCCTCCTCCTCCTCCTCCTCCTCCTCCTCCTCCTCCTCCCCCTCCTCCCTCCCCCTCCTCCTCCTCCTCCTCCTCCTCCTCCTCCTCCTCCTCCTCCTCCTCCTCCTCCTCCTCCTCCTCCTCCTCCTCCCCCTCCTCCCCCTCCTCCTCCTCCTCCTCCTCCCCCCCCCAAGCGTCCGCGCTCCGAATGGATTCCAGGAGGCCTCCTCCACGAGGCCCCTGGCGGGAGCTCGCCTCGCCGCGAGCCGCCCGACGGCGGCCCCGGCCCGTCCCTGTGGTTGGCATCACCCTCTTTCGGTGCCGATCTTGGGGACTCCCGCAGTGTCTGCGGGCACGCTCCAAGGTCGTCATCGGCCTGGGCTCGTCAACCTCCGGGGCGGGGACGAGCTCGGGGCTGGCTACAGCCGACCCGCATGGTGAGGATGGGCAGCCTTCGCGAGGGCACCCTTCATCCTTGCCCCCTCGGCCCATCCCTGGCCGCCCTCGGTGGCCGCGCCCCGCTCTCAAGGACTCGGCATGGCCTGCCAATAGGGCCCCAGCGCCGATCCGAGAAATCCGCGCGGACTTCCGAGTTTTTATGTTTATGTCACTTTTTGTTCCCCTGTCCAAGGCCCTTGCATCCTCATCGCGCATCCTTCCGATCCGGGCTGGCTGCAGCTGTCCCCCCGCTCCGCGCACGCACCGGCTCCGTGCACCGCGCGGAGCCCGCTCTCTGGGCGCTGGCGTATACCGAGGGGAGCCCCGCCAGGAGCTCGCGGGGAGGCGGGGAGCCCACAGTCGGGCAGGTGGCAATCTTGGTATCGCTCGGGCGTGTGCACCTTCTCTCGGCGGGGATTAGTAAGGCGCATCCTGGATCATCCTGCGAGAAAAAAAAACACGCACGAAGCCGAACAAAGTACAGGGAATGGACGTCCGAGCGATGGCCAGCAAATGGGGGATGGCCCACATGGGGGGGGAGAAAAAAAGGCCCCCCAAAGGGGCCCTTGAGGGCTCCTTTTTTCGGGCG